ATATACACATACATATATTTATATATATATATATATATATTTATATATATATATATATATATATATATATTAAGGGTGGAGCCGAACCCGAATACGGTATTCGGAAAGGCACGAATAGCGTGTTTTTACGAATACTTATTTCGAACAAATACTTGAAAAATTATTTGTATTCGGGAGCGAGAAAAACACTATATCAAAAAGCAGCGTTTCCTCATGAGACCACAGTGCATGCCCGCGTGAGTGAGTGAGTGAGAGAGAGAGAGAGAGAGAGAGAGAGAGAGAGAGAGAGAGAGAGAGAGCGAGAGCGAGAGAGCGAGCGAGCGAGAGAGCGAGTGAGACGCTCAGTCGGAGGGCGGGGCGGAGGTGTCTGGCACAATCTTCTCCACAGATACAGACAGAGAAGGCTCGGCTGAGCGAAAAAAATTCTTATCTGCATCACTATTTTTGTTAAATAGATTTTTGTACCTTAATTGGGTTCCAGATGCAGTTTATAAACTTGTAGCGGAGTTTGATCGGGATCGGGAAGTTTGCAATCGGGTGCTCTCTGTTTACGCAACGTTAGCTCTGTTAGCGCGGTAATTTAGACAATAGACTGTTGGTCTGAGTAACATTAACGTTCGTTTATAAAGGTTAAAATGATGCTTGTGCAGTTGTGTTGAATAGTATGCACTTATGGGAGTTATATGGTACGTCTACATTACTGTCTTTTGCAGACAGCAAGATATATGCTATAGGCTAGTTAACCTTAGCATAGCTTCCCGTCACTTTTTATTAACTTGAAACTCCTCAAATACATTTGGGCACCCGAATAGAAAAAGAGTGAGACTGCTTCTGAGCCATTTCTTGGTCCTCCACCAGTCAAAAAAAAAAAAAACAAAAAAACATGTTCTTTGTGGAAGAATTGTACAGTCAGTGGAGCTGCAGATAAAACAAACTGATACTGTAACGTTATAATGTGTGCAAAAGTGAAATCAGCAGAGATATTAAACATCTGTCAACATCTCCTATGCATAATCATTCATTTCTTTTCGGCTAAGTTCCTTTATCAATCTGGAGTTGCCACAGTGGAATGAACCACCAATTTATCCAGCATATGATTTATGCAGTGGCTGCCCTTCCAGCTGCTACCCAGCACTGAGAAACATCCATACACTCTCTTTCACACACACACAATAGGGACAATTTAGCTTACCCAATTCACCTGTATTGCATGTGTTTGGACTGTGGGGGAAACCGGAGCACCCGGAGGAAACCCACGCCAACATGGGGAGAACCCAGTCATGGCTCGAACCAGCAACCTTTACTGTGCCACTGCGCAACCTTCTATGTAATGTATTATCACATGCACTAAAAGCATCCTCTCCTTATACTGTCTGTGAACCCCCCACAAGCATCAATCCCCTCAATCAGCACAGCTATGTTCTGCTAAATCCTCCACAAGCACCAAACCATCAACACAGCCACATTCTGCCCCAGCAAGTCAGTTTCAAACATAAAAAAAAAAAAAAAAAAAAAAAACTTTGTGTCTTTTTTGTGGCTGGCAGATGACAATAGCAGGGCTGTATCTTTTAGTATTATATAGAATACTTTTGTTCTGCCAGATCCCCCAGGCAGGGTTTTATTTAGATTTATTTAGTTAATATTATAGTTTTTGGAATTCTGTGCATTGGAAAGAAGTTCTTTCAGAAGAAGAACAGTTTTTTGAAGTATTATTTGTTTTTAATCTGTCTATTCAGTGTCCTTCAACAAGAACGGTGGTGGTGGGGTTCATAATATTCACAATGGTATTTTATTAGTTGTTGGTTTAACCATGGATGAGATAACGGCTTCTATGTTATTTTCTTTTCAATGACATTTCTTGTCACATGTTCAAAAACAACAGCCAATATTGCATATCTATAATTTATATAATGGGTATAATTAAACAATACTTTCACTATAATGTAAATTAGAAGTGTAATAGAAAAATTATAGATTTTTGCGCCATATTGAATTTTACTCGAATACAAATACAAATACAAATACTTTTCCCCCCTCAACAAATACAAATACAAATACAAATACCGGCTGCTCCGCACATCCCTAATATATATACATATATATATATATATATATATATATACA